GGTTAACATGAAGCTGTAGCAGATAATACCAGTGCTGGACCACCAAATAGACACCCATTAGCTTTTTTTTGATGAATATTTGGTTTTGGACTGTGCTTTGGCACTTCATCTTTATCCAACCATTGTGCTGAAAGCTTGCACATTGTCAAAAAAAATCTATTTTTCATCACACATAACGATATGGTATAGAAATGGTTTGCCTTTATGTTGTGTCAGCAAAAAAAGAAAGGCTTAAAGGCAAGCTTTGAGATGATTTCTCTTCTGATGCTCATTTTAATTCATGCGGTACCCATCTGTCCAGATTCTTTACCTTGCCAATTTGTTTCAAATGGTCCAATATTGTTGGAATACTAACCTTGCTGCTAATTCAGATGAATCTGCTTTTACTACAGCTTTCAGCTCATCATTATCTACCTTGGTCTCAAGTTACCCACATAGCTCACTTTCAAAATTAAAATCACCAGAATGGAAATTCTCAAACCATTGAAGTCCTCTGTGTTCATTAGCCACATCCTTCCCAAACACTTCAATGATATTTCAAGATGTCTGCACTTCATTGGTTCCATGATAGAACCCACACTCAAAAATAACACGAATTTTTGACTTATCCATGGTTTCACAAAAATTGCTCCTAAAAAATGTGAAAAATAATCACAAGCCAAAATGTGCATTTGAAAGACTGAGGATGTACCTTCACAATAGGGGAAAAAAAAGCAGTGTCAAAGTGAAATGTCAGAGATATCAATTGTGAAACAATACTTAAGGAAATCAGACATTTCATACTTAATGACCTAATATTTACATAAGAATTTCTTGGGCTTAACCCAGTGCTTCCTGTCAAGATGGTGCTGTGAGGTTAAAGGAGCAGTCTTCAAACTGGGAAACAAACAGCAAGAGGAGACAGAATAGAGGGATTACCAAGGGGCATAAGAAACCTTCTGGGGGTGATAGAGATGGTAACTGTCTTAACTGTGATGATGTTTTGTGGATGTGCACATAGATTAAAACATCAAATTGTGCACTTTAAATATGTGCAGTGAATTTTATGTCATTATTACCTCAAGATAAAGCTGTTTTAAAATTACAGTACCAGTTGTTGGAGAAGTTTGGAACAAGGAACGCTCATATACTGCTAGTGGCCATATAATTTGGTAGAATTTTGGAAAACCATTTGGCAGTGTCTACAATAATTCCACTCCTAGATATATATTCTCCATAGAAATGCATACATGTATCCAACAAAATATATATATA